TCGATGAACAGTGTAAAGCGGGCTACTTTTCTATGACTACACAAACGTTGCGAAAACAATGGTGGTGATGACATAATTTACCTTCATCCTAATTACTTCAGATAAATCATGTTTCGAGTAATTTATGTATTTCCTAATCCATTGATGTCTAGTCGAGTAGGCGTTACGCAATAACTTGACACCCTAGGGTACCCTTGAGAAACCTTTTCACGCCAGTAAGACACATAAACTCCAAGTAGCCGGAGAGGATTCCAATCCCAGACAGTTTCTATTTCGCAATCGGATGCCTTAGCAGCTGAACTGCAAAGAATGACCCGCGAATAAGTTATGATGCTGTATGGTAAAGCGCCCTACACACCTCTACTATCAGTTTCCTTTGCAACTGTTCTCAAGAAACAACGTTCCCTTTTCTGGGGGGAAAGTGTTGCGTGACACGTAACGGCCGCGAAGGAGACTTCGCAAAGATTAGAAATGTCGAAAGACTCGTGTATGAATTTAATTTATGAAAGATGGCAACTGTTTCCAGCTAGTTCGTCGTTTACAGGGAAGTTTTGAAGTTGTTTTACGAGGGCGGAACAAAGGTCCTTGGGAGAGGAGCTTTGTCAGAAAAATAGTTGGAGCAGGCTGATTCCTTATCTTCTTCAGTAACAATGGACGACCCAACATGCACCGTTAGAGAACAAAAGTCTAGGTACATCGGCTCTCTGATAATTTTCATTTTCCATATGGCTCTTAGATGGCGTAGAGCTTATGAAAATTACTCTATGTTCAGGGTGTGTCTTTTAGATTAAAGCGCTCGTCAGAAAGGCTCGGACCTCCACAAAATATCTTCTCGAGGACAAATATATTATCATCGTTATTTTCATTACTTTTTCTAATGCTAGTAATGGTAGTGGTGGTATTGATTATAGTAATTTCCTTGTCTAATCTTTTTTCTAGCGAATTAGACGTTAGCACAGCCATGTAGATATTTATGTTAATAAACTAGCTTGTTGTCTTCCAAGTTACTCTTCAAGGTGCTTGTAATAAGCGTTAAGAAGTCTCTGCAATCGATATTGTACTGGTCAGTTTTACACTGATATATTAGCTTTCGACTTCCGTATGGACCTGTTTCTTGTATTTTCACTTGTTTGTCCAGTAATGCACGCAATAGCAACATGGCGATTTTAGCAAAGTTTTGCCAAGGGTTTTGGCGAAGGCTCGATTATGTCATATTAGAGAGTTCGGCGAAATTCGCCAAAAGCAAACAATCCTTTTATGTAAATTGTTTCAGTTTTGATAAATGACGGACTCAAAATGACCTATGATCTCGGCGAGAATGCCGGATGAGAAAAACTGTTGTAAAGTCGGCAAAAAGTATTAAGTACGAATTTTCTTCCATATATAGACGGTTTGAGACATCTCATCATCGAAATAAGGCACACTTGGGCTATAGTCAGGGTTAAGTTTCCTTTCCAACTGTGGCGTGAATTTCTTGGTTTTTACTGTTAAATGATACATAACACAAGGGACAAGGTTTGTTCGGTTATAACAGGGTAATTTAGTATCAACTCTTCGTTCTGACGATGGCCAAGGGCTAACGCTCGAAACGTCAGTTTCTAAAATCTTTACGATGGCCAATCTACATTACCAACTCTGTTGATAATAGTTAATTACCCTGTTATATTCTCCCACCGACGCAGCACCACTGCTTCTTTAGAAACTTACCCCCTTTATTCATTCGGTTCTACTTTACCAGCTCAGCCCTTGTTAACATGTATGGCACACAAATAAGGGCGTTATTGAAGAATTATAACAAGACTTCGAATGGAAATTCAGTATATTTTTAATTTTGAAATTTGTTTAAAATTGTTTCAAATCCCGGAAAACTCCTGAAAGTTACCAATATCAGTATTGGACATTCAAGAACTGTTATTTCGATGCCGACTTAGTCATAAATACTCGAATTTTACGATTATTAAATTGTTACTTGCTGGTGTAGGAGTTACTCTTGTGCTGAGGATTACTGCCCTTTTTCTCATTTATTTAAGCTTTATCGTCACGATACGATTTCTGAAACTTGGTGAAGCCACCCCTGAAATGTTTATTTCGTTATTACTTACGGAGCACACCAAATCATTGTTAGAGTAAAATTGTATTAATTTTAAGCATATAGGTTTCCTTGAGTATAAAAATGTTCGCGACATTTTAAAAATCAATGGCACGTGCAAGTTATTTTTTCTTTTCAAACAAAAAGTCGCACTACTTTTAGACACGATTTTTCGCCTTCCTAATAATTCCTGTTAGTGAGAACGTAAGAGCAAATATTTCCATCTTAAAATAGATTTATCTGATCAATAATATTACTGCACGCTTTGGTCAAAGCTTTACAGATCAAAATAATGATATTTTTCATAAAATTGATCACAGATATTGAAACTACCACTTGCCCTGCTGGTAAATAAGACAACTCTGGACAGAGTTGAAATCAGTGTCTCGTGTAATCAAGTTAAATTACAAAAACTACATCAGACAGCCATCATTTTGTGTAGTATCCCTCGTTACACATAATAAGAAGTTTCCAGGCATATAGGTTAGTGTTTTTTACATACTTTATTCATGGAGAATGAGAAGAAACTATTAACAAATTTGCAAGAGTCAAATTTTGAACTTTTTGAGGGAGTTTGCTAAAAACACTTTATGAAGAATTACCTAAGAATAATCGCTTAAATTAGGGACCAGACTCAATCTCTTCGCATTATCCGCTCACCGGCCATGTCGGCATGGTTCAGAAAAAGATGGGTGTTTTTCCCTTGATCTTTATCTGAAGAGTTTCAGCTTACTAGTCTCCATAGATACGGTAAGTGTTGGGGTAATTCCTTTCCGCACTGATATTTGTGGAACTATTTCTGTACAGGTAAGGAGTGAAATTTTTTGTTTTTTGGAAACCTGTGTATTGAATCTCAGATATTTCGGCTTGAAAAGCAAGGAGAGAGTCGCCTTGGTAACTAAAATGCACCGATATTCCGCATTTGTTGTGTGTCTAGTTTATAGTATAACAGTGGCTATCACCGGAAACCAAACCTAAAGTGTAAGTCAAGAGTATTTGTGGATGCGGCGTGGCAGGGTGATTTATTTTTCTAGGAGTTTGAGATTTTTTTTTTTTTTTTAATGGTCATAATTTCCAGAATAGAATTGAAACAAATGAAACAAAACTATATCTATATTTGCCCCAAAGACCTCAGAATTTTGATCATAATCGCATATAATCGAAGGTAAAAAAGAATCAAGTTGTAACAAGAGACCTCTGTCGTTTAATTCCTAGAACAATATGTTTCATATTATCTATGAGTAACTCCTATTTTCCATAAACCTAGAATAAAACCTTTTTTTTTTTTTTTCAAGTAAGTATCGGACGCAATTCGGGATTGCATTGGTTTTGTTTCAATCCGATCCGCAATTGGTTTAGAAAATTCGCGCCAATCTTCCAACCAATCAAAACACCAAACCACTTTGAAAAGCGATCCCGACTCGGTCACACACGTTTTCCAGTGCTTCAGCAGTTCATTTGTTTTGACGGGGGACTGTGGTGCTGCGTTAGCAGAGGGTGTTACAAGATAATTCGATGATATCAATTGATATCGTGAATTGACCACTGAAGAGAGTTTCTAAAGCTAACGTTCCGAACGTTGCCCCTTCGTCAGAGTGAATGACGAAAGCCGGGCTAACGCTAGAAACGTCAGCTTTTAGAAACTCTTTACGGTGGCCAATTTATTTCATCAACCTATATACGGTTGTTAGAACCAAATTCATTTGTTTAACATCGGGTTTTTACTAGTTCCTCGTCATTTTTTCTTTCTTATGCTTGACCTCCTTTATTACTAAGGTTTCGGTTTTACGGAACTGAATCAAAAAGCCCCATATTCTAAACAACCAGCGAGGCGTTTATTTATTCCCATAAACGGCGAAAAACATCCGCACACGTACAAAGACAAAATGTAAAATTCAACTTAAGTCTAAAGATAAATTCAAAAGTTTCGCCACGTCCTTTAGAACAACGTGAGAACTTAGTGGGGGGGGGGGGGATCCAATTGGTTGAGTTGAATCTTCCTGTTAAACGTCAAATTCTACTGCGGTTGACCATTCTTCAGCACTTTCGTGGTCATACTTCACAATTCCTGAGTGTCCGTTTCACGACCGTTTCACCCTTTTACCGCCAAGTTTGACATTCAAAATCAAGCTCTCCTCCGTCCATTCTATAAGGAAGATCGAATGTTTACAAAGAGGTAGTCACATACAAAAAAAATAACAAATTTTGAGGAGTGATTTATCAAACGCCTTCATGTCCTAATGAGGCCAGTTGTCAAATATTCAACAAACAAAGCGGATAGACAAACACTCCGTAATTGTTTCCGCAACGGTGAACAATAGCGAATTGTTGTTCTGACGTTGTTATAGTTTTGTGCGGACTCTTTCCTTAATTTTGTAGCAATTGATAGTGTTGCTAACGTTATAGATTTCTAATAAAGACAGTAAATCCCAACTCTGCAAGGTTATTATTGCTTATAACATATAAGTAATTGTTAATCAGCCACAAGGTTGAGGCAAGTCAAGACATTTTCGGTTGGTCCTTTCAGCATACAATAGAAAAAAATGTGCAAAACGTGAATAATTACAAGCTACTGGAAGTTGCTTCGCTCACCAATATAATTCATGGCCGCCTCCAACGGAAGTTCTTTACGTATGTAAGTCACTTTCTAGAAATTCTTGGCCTTTTGAGAACATCTTTTTTTTGGCTGATTTTTACATTTTTACATCGACCCCCTCTGTGAAATTTTATCTGAATTGTTAGATTTCCGCTTTAAAACTAAAACTACAGAACTAAGTATTTTCATTCACTATTTTTGTCCTGATGATTCACGTGAGGCCCAATTATGGCATGTGGGATGTCGGCCGATATTGTAGTTTCGCTTTTCGAGTGCCAGGGCGTTGCTGTAATCTTTTTAAATAATGCGACGTGATAGAGGTTCTGCGTCGCTGGGCATAAATGCAACGGAACCGTAAGTTTGAATCAGTTGTTTTAGAAGAGTTGAACTACACAGAGCTTGTCTCGAAGCATTCCGTCAACGAAAACATAATGCGTCAAAGAGGGAATATATTTCATGATGACACTAGGATGCGCCATCAGTACGATGAAATGCCTCTCACCATGAAAGAACTCGGTGTCGAGAAAGGTTTTGATTTTGACTTCAAATATGGTCAAAAATCTGCGTGCGAATTCAACGAAGATTTGGCAGCCATTCACCAGAGTATGATGCAAAGCCCGAAGATAAACCGTCATCGAAAGAAAAAAAGGAGAAAGTATCCAAAGTTTAGATTTGTTCCGAGCCTGGAAGCCATCAAAGAGAACGAACTATTTGAAACGCATTTTGAAAGTATAAGGAAATTAGAGAAAGATTTAGCCTCCATTCACGAAGAGCGAGCCCTGAATCGTGGTATGTCCATAACGGAAGAAGGAAGACGAGAACGTCGAAAAAGAGGTTCAAGAAGTTCGAGTGCAAGGACGTGATTGGACAAACTAGCTACGACTATGCTGGTCAAAGAAAAAAACGCTGATACAGCCCAATAACTATTCGCTTTGCTGTATTAGTTAAAAATAACATGGGTACATGACTCAAATACCGTCGATACTTGCACAGCCATTAATTTACAAATTCATTGAAAGAAAAAAGGGAACCTTGTCAAGACTCGCCAAGATGGAAGATGTGAGCGTTTCACCACGAGTAACTGAGTGTATCAGTAAAGTTAACGGCTCAGAGAGCAACATTTAAACAACTTGTAGACGTAAAACGCTTTCACGGTTTTTTTCAGTTTCACCCTAAATGTACATTGCTCTAGCACACATTTATGCGTGTGGGAAAAGAGAGTCACAAGAGAGAGATCAGTGCAAAGAAGCAATAACATCCCTATATTGAATGAAATGCGGTAAATTTCTCGTCCGTTATTAACTCGAAAAAGATCTGAGTAAAAGCGATGGATCCGTCGGTATTTGCCACGCCAACAACCCACAAGGAGGAGAAGATATAGGGATCGATAACAATTCCTCCAATTTTGTAATATTGGGATTTCGGCATTCAAGAAGCATACGTGCTAATGAGTCTGTAAAGCGAAATCTTAATATTCAAGAGCAAATAAACATCATTTACAGTTAAATGCTTTTTGTCTACGTTTGTACAGAATTTAAATAACGAACGATGACTTTTACGGAATTAAAGTGTGAAAAAGATATTGGTTTCGTTCTATCTCCGACTAGGCTTCCTTGGCGCCAGACTTTCGCAGATCGTGTTTGTAAACAGCACGGGACAGAAGCACGCAAGCGCTCGCGTCGGCGAATTTTCCTTCTTTGTGATGAAAACTTAATTATGACTTAGGGAGAGAGCATTGTTTGCGAAGAAAGCAATATCAAGGTCGAGTGCAAGCCTTTGTGTGTAACTATTTACGCCTACTTTCGCAACCCTAGTAGTTAATGCAAAACATCTAATTGGATGTAAAAGTTGCCACTATCCTCCTCTTCATCATGGCAAAAGATTAATTTCTTTTATTTCAATTGCAGGTAATTTAGTGTTAACAACTAGGTTGAAAACGTAAATTAGCCACCGTAAAGAGTAAAAAAGCTGACGTTTCGAGCGTTAGCCCTTCGTCAGAGCGATCGCTCTGACGAAGGGCTAACGCTCGAAACGTCAGCTTTTTTACTCTTTACGGTGGCTGATTTACGTTTTCAACCTAGTTGTTAACACTAATTTACCTGCTATACTCTCCCACCGACGTAGCACCACAGTTTCTTTAGAAACTTACCCCTTTATTTATTTCAATTTATTTGATTGGTGTCAGCCTCTGATGGATCACGAAGTTGTTTTGCTTTCAAGTGAAGAGGGCACGGACTTCATCCTTAATTGATCCGATTTCCAACTGATTAACAATTCGTGTGCGTTTGAACATTTACCTTTATGCTGTATGACTGAGTAAATAGTATTATTTCTTCTCCTTTTGTATTGGTAGGTGTAAGATCTAGAATTATTACTCTTCACAATCTAATGAAGATTATAACGTCTTATTTACCTTTGTAATAAGCTGATTATCGACTGTCACTAGTGGTTTCTAGAGATAAAACTATATTGCATTGCTAAAATACGTTTAGCATGCCCAGAGTCCGTTCGGTTTCAAAGAACAGAATCAAATGCAATTTTCGGTAACAATTCTTTGATGGCAAAATTCTGGGAAACGTTTGGCGAGTCATTAATTTTTTTCTTCAATTTGTGATCTGCGTTGCAGACAAACTTTCTCAATCTAGCAACTCATAAAAAACGGAAATCCGATCAAAACGGCGTAGTGGCAATATCCAATCTCAAGAGCACTCGAATTCTTTCCTTTTAAAATTTCCTCGAGAGGTAAATTTTACGGACTTTTAAAATCGATCGCACTTCACGTTCGATTATACTCACGGTTTGCTACTCGGCGTTTTTTCTTCGACATTTCCCATCTTTCGCTAATTTTTAACACCTAATTATTCTGGCCAACAGGATTGCGCGACTGACGTTGTTATTCTGCACTGTTGTTCAGTTTTTAGGGATGGATATCTGTATCCTGCACGGAATAATTTTTGGCTCCCTCGTCGAAAAAAAACCAATCCGCTTTAAAAAAGTAGTTAATTAAATGGTATCAAAAGTTATTCATTGATTATTTATAATTCATTTGTTATTGTGAGGTGAAGGATCGAAGAATTTTAGGTAAGAGACACCTCTATGGCCCGGTTGCCCAATACTAACTCGTCTTATACTTATTCCAAACCCATCAGTCATTCTCCAAGTTCGGTTTGAGTTCCTGGTTTTGAAAAATTGCATTCAAAATGGCCACAGTCCAATGGTTTTATAGCACTGTTTATTTACAAACTTTGCAACTGTCGGGTTATTTTCCAGAAAACATTCAACTTCTCGCATTTTAGTACTTCCGACGTCTTTGGAACGGTAGTTCCGACTTATCAGTGATATAGACTGTATTAGCTCTAGACTGGTTTTATAACTATTTGGGTTATCTACCGGCTACACCACAAAAATGGCGGGAAATCGGGACGAGCCAATACGACTTACTCTGGATATCAATCTCGGAATAAGACTGTTGCAGACGTACGAATGTCTTTCAATTTTAAAACAACAACGAATAGAAGGTTGGCAGAAATTCAGGTGAAATATTTCTAGTCCATAAACAGACAAGAAAAAATGTCGGCCAATTCCTATCGGTTTTATTTTGTTCAAGTACTTCACGGGCCATCTGTGTGGTGAATCATCTTCTTGGCTTCTGACACGTTCTTTTAAAGTTTCAGTAGTTGAGGAGAAAATATTTGCCCAAGGTAATTACTGTAAAACCTAACGAGATAAGAAACTTTTCTAATCATGAGTGAGAGCTGTGTCGTCCAAGTGAACAAGCAAGAGTTGGAAGACCGAGAAGGAAGAGGGAGGTGTAAGACGTCGCGCGGGGGGTCGAGGCCAGGTAACCTGGCTTGTAATATCAAACCATTTTTGAATCAGACACTTAAAACTCTTAAGGCACTTAGCTATAGGAGTAAGCTTTCTTCGGGGATTGGTAGAGCTAAACCTCTTCTTCTGTGACTCAATACGTGTAATGCTTGGTCTTACACATGCCTGAAGTACACCATTCATAAAAGATAGGACTACCTCTTATCTTGCTAAATTGACAGCTGACAGTTGAATCAATGCTTTAATTTCCAAATATCAAGCGTTCAATAGTTTTATTGATTCTTTAAATTTTTTTCGTGTTTTTCTCAAACGAAATTCAGCCTGTTTGCATTTCATGCATTTCTGACCTCCCAGTTACACCGAGTTCTCGGAGATTATGAGCTATTATGAGCTAATATTACTCTTAGCTTGGTTTGATAACTATTTGGGTTATCTAATACACGAATAAGCAGCATTAAAAATATGCCGCCAATTATCGCGAGCCAATATAACTGACTATCAATCTAGAATAAAAACGAAATTGATGTAGGCGTGCTGATTAAGTTCTATGTACGTGATTCAATTTTAACAAACAGAGAACAGTAAGTTGGCTTGGAGATTTTTTTTTCCATCAATGATATAAAAATCAATCAACCTAGAGGAGTAAAAAGTCTAATTCTTTCGGTTTGAAGTTTATGCTCCATCCGTGTTGTAACTTATCCAATTGGTTTCTCGTACGTTCTTTTAAAGTTTCAGTACACAATCCATAATACAGAAAAAATTACAAAACAAGTCAAAAACAAAAACGGAAAAAGCCATGGGCTGCGAGAAGAAGGGAGCTGAATGAGAGACTATTTCGACCACGCCCAAAGTACACAATAACGAAGCCTCAAGATACTTAATCTTTTTTAATGAAACAGTGTTACAAGGGCTTCAAAATTCGTGTCTCAAAACTAGCTGACGAACAGGTATAAAATTATTCGTTTCGTCTCAAAGCAGTTTGGTAGATCTAGTTAAACTACTTTCTTTAAAAGTCAGGTTTTGGCTCAAAAAAACGAAATTGTTAGCCGACGGCTAAGTCAGTGCTATATGATTTCCAAAGATCAAAATTTCATTGAGACTGGTTATTTGCAGGCCTTGTCCTGACATTTTTTAAAAATTAAACCGTTCGCATTTCATCACTTCCGACCTCGAAAAGAGTGAAATATCTACCTGCCCTAGTTTGGTTTTAAAACTATTTGAGTTACTTACTCAACATCAAAGATAATACGCGTCAATACAACAAGAACCAAACAAAAAGTAAATTTTCATATATGCCTCTTCATTGGCGGATGAGAAAAATCAATTGGTTTCTGAATGATTATTTTCTTTTAATTTGATTAACATATCTTAGCAAAGTCGCTGGTTCTATGAGGGTTGGGCACAGCTGAACATCAAAAAGTACTTTTTATCGCATCAGTTCTGATCTCTCGGTGATTTATAGAGCCATACCTCTTTGGCAGTAGCTCAATACTGCACAATTTTATAAAACGCAATCTGGAAAAATATTTTCAAAATCTCTCTGGCCATTATTTTCCACTACTTATTGCAAATTATATTATTGGGAAAGTTCAATTTTGCAATTAAACGGGACTGTTAATCCACAGACTCTGTCGTGCGTTTTACCTCTGGTAATTTAATCCTTAAGATCTTTCAACTCTTCCGACTTTCTTACCTCAGCACATCCGAACTCCTCGGTATTTGTACCTACATCAAGATAATCAAGATATTATTATTATTATTGTTGTGTCGTCTAGACTCAGTCAAGTTACTCCTTTCATTGCTATTGCTCAACTGAATTTTATTAAAGAATCAACAAGCTATATTCACAATACAATACTAGGAATCAGTAATACTACTTTTACATAGGAATGTACTTTTACAATCATGTAACGATCGTGTCTTACGGGATATAGCGTGACTACAGTAACGCTTAGGTAACGCAATACACTACAATTATTATTCCTGTTACAGTCCATCTTCTGGTTGCCAATTTGGGAATAAAGGAAACCGACATGAAGCTAGCTCTTTTTCCCTTGAGCTAGTAATATCAAAGAACATCCCCTGACAGCACAGGCGGCCCAAGCTCACGTCTCGAGAAAAAGCCAACGATTAATTCATGAACGCGTCACGCATTGTGTGACTCGGTGTTAAGTTACGAGAGGAACCGTTGAAAATTTGAACACGTTATAAGGAATAGTATGGGGAACGAAATATGGTCGATTGACAACGATAAATATTTCGAAATATGAATATTTTACACGTAAAACCAATAAAACTTACTCGCATCCTGTGTGTCCGTTGTAGTTTCCGGCGATTTCTGCCGTTTTAAGCCTGCTTTACCATCACTGTTATTCCTGTCAAAAGACGAAGTCAGGCTGCACACTCCGATTTCAACCGTTGTCCACGCGGAGGTGGTATGCGCACCGAAAATCCTCCCGATCGGCATTTTTCTCAGCCATTTTTTACGATCTAAGATCATTGCACTCTGGGACATGTCTCAATACCAAAACTCCCCGCGCATTTCGCTGGAAACGAGCGTTTTGTACCTGAATTTCCAAGTTCGCTTCTTTCTGGCTATGCTTTGAACAAGCAAACTAGACACGGCCGCGGAAGAAACTTGGGTACAAGGTTAATTTTCTCTCTACCGCGAGTGGTACG